TTCTTGGAACAAATAGTTGAAATCTTGTTAGTATAACTCTACAATCATTTCCACCAGCTCGCCAGATAAGATTACCATCTGATTCTAGTTCAATATTTAATTCAATTTTTGTATTTGGAAGAAGTTTATCATCTAGTGATTCAAAGAAAGAATATCTGTTGAGGGAGATTTCACATCGTACTGTTGCCGAGTCGCCTAGTAATACTTTTCTTATTGAAAAACCTTTGTTATAATCAGCTACTACTGCATCTAACATTAGACCTGCATCATCAGCATTATTAGCAGCATTCCTTCTATGAGTTACATTCCTTGATGTAAATTTTTGTCTTTCAGCATGTCTTGATGTATCAAGATAGTAAAATTCATTTGTAGCAACACTATCAATATAGGAAGGATTATACTCAAGCAAATTCTTAATATTTACTACATGATTAGCATAGTTGCAACTGTAAACATCTCTACCATTTGCCAAGATAGATAACTTTTCTATGAGAGAACTACTTCCATTTACTATTCCCATTTGGTCACCATCTGCATCTATATTAGCTCCAGCAGCCAGCTGATTAACTTTGAAATCTACTGAAAATCGCGCGTTATACCAATCAAATGGAGTTGCCTCACCTGTATTATCAGCAACAAATCTATGACCTGTTTTAGTTTGGTGAGCACCATTTGTAGGTGTTGCTAAAGCCTGTTCAAGGTCAAAAACAACATCTTCATATCTTTCTAAGTATTCTGGATTTCTAAAGGACTTCATTTTATTTTAATAATTATATAATTTTTCCCCCACTCAGAATGGCATTCACTCTTTGATTTATTTCTTGTTGAGTTATTTTTTTGTTTGGAATTATTTCAACATTTTTATTAAAAGTAACTTTTTTAGTGGTGGGGGGTTTAACCTTTTCTTTTGATAACATTTGCACGATTTTATCACCAGCCTTTTTACCAACATGTTCACCAGTTTTTATTGCAGCTGTTGTCACTGCTTTTTCAACACCTTTTTTAGCAGCTGATTTGACTGTTTTTCCAAATAATTTTGAACCAACCGATTTAAGCACATCCATCATTCCTTCTCCATAAATATGTTGTCTTGTATATCGCCCCAATTCGGGGTCAAGTTTCTTTTTAAACTCTGATTGTCGCTTCATTTTATTTTAATAGTTATATTACATCGAGTGAAGTATTAAAGTCATAAACCAATCAATACCATTAAAATTTACTGGTCTACCAAGTGAGTCTGCCACATAGATTCTCATTTCATCAATGTGAAATGATGATACAGGACAAGACAATGGTCTTTTAGGTTCAAACGTAAATGGATAAGACCTTGTAAGATTATCAGTTGGTATCACAGCAATGGTATTAGTGTTTATTCCATTTACAATACAGGCCTGACGGAATTATGCGCGGATGCGGGGCCGCATAATTTGGCTTTTTGGGGGCAATCCCGCATAATCTTGAAAATCCCGCATAATACCGCATAATCTTGGAAAATATCGAAAAAAATATAAATTAAGTGTCATATCTCCTTTTTAAGGACTTCCTACCTTGTTTTCATTGTAAAACAAATAAGAAATGTGAGGTTTTTTTTCTAGAATTCGCTTTCAGAAGTCCTCGGATAGAACGATATTCACTTCAAAAATTGAACAGGCCTTCTATGTACGGCCGTTTGGGGCTTGTAACTAGTAAAGATATGACGAGCCATTTCATTGGTAGAAGAGAACCAATCATTTTTTTGCATAGAAATTCTTATCGATTGCGCGGGAAAAGCGAATTCCTTTCTGCTTTCTGACCGCCATGAAGAGCATGGAAAACTGGTTTACTAAATTGAAAAGAGAGTGAGAAAAACAAAGAGCCACGAAGCAACAAAAATAACAGCTAAAGATCGAGTTAAGCAATACTCAGCCGGAACCTTTCACGAGGAAAGCGGATTACTGTTTTGCACCGTGTGCAATGTTGTGCTTGAGCACTCTCGAAAATCGGTTCTTGACAGGCACCTTGAAGCTGCTTCACACCAAAAACGTCTTAATCTGCCCGGTACAAGTCGTGGAAAACAAAAGACTCTAAAAACTTCGTTCAAGTGCAGCAATTCGGCACAAGAAGAGAGGATCAAAGTCTGCCATGATTGGATCAAGGTGTGCACGGCCACTAACATCCCCCTTGGCAAGTCTGACCACCCCGTGCTCCGAGAATTTTTGAAATCCCGAGTGGTTAATGGCGGGGCAATCCCGAAGAGAACGCAGCTGCGTGAGTATCTTTTTGATGTGTATGAGTGTGAAAAACAGGAACTTAAGGACAAAATAAGTAAAAAAAATGTTGCAGTGATGGTAGATGAGCTCAGTGATGATGATGGGCGGTATGTGTTGGATATAATGGTAACTTTGCTTGATTTCGATGAGCTATCGCCAAGTGGCAAAAATGTTGCGTACTTGATAGACACGCATTTTCTACGAGAAACGAACAACAAAACTGTTTCCCAAGCAGTTGTTAAGACACTGGTCGAATATGGCATCGACTTTGACTGTGTCTTGATCTTTAACTCCGACAACGCAAGCTACATGAAAAAAGGCGTTCAATGAGACATTGTCTGCTTTATTTCCGTGTTGTTTTTATATAACCTGCCACAGCCACATTATCAACCTGGCAGCGGCTGATTTCAAGAAACACTTTAAAACTGCATCGGAATTCATCAAGTGTTTCAGGAACCTGTTCTATATTCCGAGTGGACGTAAAAGTCGTTTCTTGAACTTTCTGAAAAGCGCTGCAAGTCTTGAAGGAAAACCAGTCATGCCGCCCAACCCAACAACGAAGAGCTGGTCTGCATGGTTTGAATCGGCCGATTATCACGCCAAGTATTACTCCATCTGTGGGGAGTTTGTTCGATCAGAAATCGAGCGCTGTGGACGAGATGCAGCAAGTAACTCGCTGTTGCGGCTTGAAGAAATGTATGACGACAGCTCATTCATGAAGAGTCTACATGCGCAGCTTATGATAATATCAAGAATGGGGCCACAGTTGATGATTCTGCTAGATTATTTCCAACAGCGAATCCCACACGTGACACAAGCGAAAAACAAGATGGAAAGCCTCCTCTGTTATCTTCACAGTAGCTCATTGATGAACGAAGAAGACATTGGGTTTTGTTTTGAAGGAGATTGAGGTAAACTATATGTCTAAAATCTTTACCAAGCTGTAGAACTAACTGCAGCCAATCAGAATATTGGCGAAAACAGTGAGTTCTGCGTCTCTCTCGCACGGGAAGCTATTTTATACAATGTACAACAATGAGCCATTTTGACAAAGCGTAACCTTGCGCAATAGTTTCCTATGCAAATAGTGATAAGCGTGCTAGATACTTTTGCTAGCAAAATAGCGTTTTTTTTCTGTCGCGAGGTAAATATTATTGGGATAACATTTGTTGCTCTTGCTCATGTAGCTGGGCCTAGAAGTATTTAGCAGTCCAATGCTGGTTTACGGTCTCATTCCCTTTACACCTTGGAGCGCCTGTAGTGTATGGTTACCCCCAAAGTGGGGATAAATTTAGAGAGCAAATATTGTTAATAAACCCAACAATAAAAAAGCGAAATGTTCCTTAAACAATGCGCATTATATTTTAGGCTCATTTTGGACTAAAAAGGCGCGAATTTTTAATGGGCAAGGGCGGGTATATTATTTTTTTTTACTCTTGTCTTTCCACTAGGTTTGAAAGCGAAGACAAAGCGGACGTTTTGGAAATTGTTCAGTCAGCATTCTCAGATGCGCACAAGAAGCTGAACAAATATGTGGTTGAGGGTGGACAGCCAGGCAGCGCCTTTCTAGAAGATATCAGGGTACTTGATCCTAGAAATCTCATCAGGTGTGACATGGGTCGCCTGTCAGAAAGCAGCATCCCCGGGATAGCAGACGTTCCAAAGAGCGAGATTGATCTGTACGTGAATGTCCTTGGCCCAGCAGCCGTCAAAGGAAGCTTTAGTGGAGATCTCGACCTTGCGTTTTTTGGAAATCCAATGCCGGGCGCACTTCCAAGCCTCTACGAAATTGCATCGCGGTACTGCACTGCAACCCTTGGTTCGTATGATGTAGAGCGATCCTTTTCCATGTACAACAGCGTTCTCGATGACAAGCGGATGTCGATGACCCCTGAAACCATCAGGGCATATCACTTCCTGAACTGGAACTTACAGGCAAAGTCGGCAGCTATCAATGAAACAGCCCCATCAGCGCCTGCTTCAAAGTGGACAGATCCCATGGAACTCCATTCAAAATCCACAGACCAAGGTAGAACAATGTTTTCGTGTAAGTTCTAGTCTCAGGCAAAGCGCACAAGCTACGAGAAATTAACTTATGCACTAATCAGCGGCCATTTCGCATTTCTCTTGTAATCGTTTTCTTTGGTTGTATTTTATTAACTCTTATAGGTATAATTATAGCAAATATAATTTTTTTGTCTTTGAGATCATATGCACCTTTTAACTTGGCAGAGCACACTTCTTTACCCCCCAGGGGAGGGACATTAGTAGCGTTTTGTTAAAAAATCTTGCCTTTGGGTAGGGGGATTTGTAAACGTTGTTGTGCAAATGCCCGGGGGTTCCCCGGGGTCATCCCCCCCGGGATGGCCGCTGATAAGTGCATTATTCACGAAGACTGATGAACAAAATATTATATCACAATAAATAATTCATCATGGCATTGAACATTAAAATGATAAAAAAAAATATGTGTATATGTTTTATTGCTGCTCTTTAGGCAATTTTGTTCTTTTCCTCATCTTATAGTTCCCATGTCCACTGGTTCTGCTCCGATGCACACGGGCTCTGTTCCGATGTCCGCGGGCTCTGTTCAGACGTCTACGGCTTCTTCTCCGATGTCTTCACCTCCTGTTCAGACGTCCACGGGCTCTGTTCCGATGTGTTCAAGCAGTGCGGGCACCATGCCTGCCGGGTCTGCTCTCAAATCGCCCCCCATTTCCAGCTTTTTCCATCCTACTTTGAAGCCAATGCCTCTTGTTCCAACAACTAAAGTACCAGGTACAAAAGCTACCAAGCCAAGCGCTTCGTCCAAGCGGAAACTGAAAGCCGACAAAAAAGACCAGGGGAAACGTTTCCGCTCAAGCCTATCCAAAGATGGCACTCACGTTACGAAATCAGCCAAAGCCCCATCAAGCCAACAACGTAGCTCTTCAATCCCAATACAGAATGTTAAAACACCGCCAACTCAGCCCCAAGTAAAGAATGGTCTTGGCAAGAACATGCTAGAAAAGTTAGAGAAAACAGAAGTCTGTGTATTTCCTGTTCACAATAACGCAGTTCTCGAGGCCATAGTTGATGGTTCAGTTACATTCAAAGGCAGTCAATTTGTGTCAACTGCAGATCTAGTTGGTCTTAAAGGTGGCCATCCAAAGGATGAAGCCAATTACTTAAGTAATTTCGTTATCGACTCCTATCTTAAGCTGGTTGCTGAAACAACTACACTTGAAGTTGAAACTCTTGAATGGGAAACTTTTGAAAAAGGAGTTGCCAGCCGACCTGCCGCAGATGTGGTGAAAGGCAAAGACCTAATGAAGCAAGACTATGTCCTTGTTCCCTGCAATCCCGGGACTAGCAGGCACTGGTTTCTTCTTGTAGTAATACCAAAGCAGAAGGAAATAATTGTTTTGGACAGTTTGTTACAAGGTTCTGGTGTGAAGCCAACCCATGAAAGAGCAGTGTGTAAAATGTGGAGCTTGCTGGAAGAACTGTCACCTTCACTGGGTAAAGAAATTAAGCAATGGAGCTTCTTCAGCGGTCAACAACACGAGGTACCCCAACAGCAGAACTCCTTCGATTGCGGTGTGTGTACGTATGCATGTACGCCAGATGCCTTGTAGGTCTGTCAGAAAGTGTAATCAGCAGTGACAGTATCCCCGCCTTTCGAAGTCAAATGGTGCTAGAGCTTGACATGAAGAAATGTGTGGACAGGATGCAGACACCCCAAGAAGGGGAGTATTATGCTGTAGAGTACCACAAGTTGTACTACATTGGTCGAGTTCTCGAGGTCAACAGTAACACCAAGATGAAGTTCCTGTACTCTGTCGGAGCGAGATTATTTAACTGGCCAAAGCGAGATGATATCGACTACTGCTCTCCCTCCAGGCTTCTCCTTGGTCCGCTCGAGATCCAAGGATCTGGTCCGTTTCAGTTTCCTCAGTTGCATGATGTAGAAGCTATTTATCAGTGTTTTAAGAAAAATAGAAAGAAGAATTAACGATACATAAGCCCAAGGAACATTTCCGTGTATACATGAAGCATATCATTTCCATTGTGAAAATTATCACTTCGAACTGCTTAGCATAGACGCATATCATTTTAGATCACGTCAGATTTAAAGCCTGTTTTTGTCGCGTTTTTGGCTGCGCCCTATGCTAGAATAGAGCAATTTTGATTAAATCATGTCACTGTTTAGGGAATTACAAGTTAAGTGGCGATGCTTCTTTTGATTCAAATTGAAGTTACAAAAAGTTTGCTCTTAGTTAACGTAATGAGTGAACAAGTGGCAGAAACATTTGTTGAAGTTCTGGCATCACTTCTGTCACTTCAATAAAACTCATTTGGATCGATTCCAGGTCGCATCCTTTTTGAAGACGTTAGGTAATGACATTGAAATTACGTAGCGCGACGTATGCTACGATGTAAAAATGTCACTTTCGTGTCATGAACTCTGAAAAATAAATAATAATTATTGTGGCGTTAGTATACTACTTTTGCTTGGTTACCGCTTAAGCTCCTTACAACACTTGTCCACATCTAAAAAATCCCCCCCCCCCTCCCCCCCGTGTGTGGGGACCTTTTTGGAAGTGCTTCGGTTAAAATTAACAAATAAAGAAGCCTCACCCGTGCTCTGTTCTGTTATAAAACACGCGGAGACACGAGACGCAGGCGAGTGTTTCTCCCTACTTCTTGAGTGCTATCGCCGCTTCCTGCGTGCTTTATAACAGAACAGAGCACGGGTGAGGCTTCTTTATTTGTTTTATGATAAAGAAACTATCATTTCTTCATAATTTGGCCTTTATTTTCAAAGCAAACACGCGCGCAATCTTATTTACGAAATGCGTGCTCTGGACTCTGATAAAGCACGCTGTTTAAACCAATGAGAACGCTTGTTACATTGGAACTTTATTATAAAAGATATTGCGCAATCCGCATAATTCCCGCATAATTTGCGATTTTTACCGCATAATTTGGGAAAAAATTCCGCATAATTTCTGAAAAATCTGCGCATAATTCCGTCAGGCCTGACAATACTATCAGTTATTGCGGTTGTGTTGATATTTAATACATCAATCGAATTTGTGATATTTGGTAGTTTTGATCCATACTCTGTTTTTGTAATAAGTTTCTTTTCAAATCCAATCAGGTCTCCAAATTCTGTTCCTCTCAGATCAAGTTGATAATCTCCATCAAGTGATATGAGAACTCTATATGTAGATAGTATAAAAGTTAGTTTGATTGAATAAGTTTTTTTTCCACTTGAATCTGTTGAGTGATGAGACTTTTGAGACATATATTGATGAATGTAATCATTAATATCTGAGTAGGAATACATTCCATCTGTAAAAGTAATTGTTTGCCAGTTGGTTCCATCATGGGTGTATTTGATTTTATTGTTTCCATAATCACTTCTAATGTTATACCAAGAGTAAGTCATGGACAGTCGATCACGAGCAGTTTGGTGTTTCATTTCAGGGTCAAGTTTTAGAGATGGATTAAACTTAATAGTAAAATCACCAGGTCTGCTTGTTCCTCTTTTTTCCCTGTTTATTGAGGAAATGTGAATAGCTCGTTCTTCCATTTTTATCTAATTGATATATAACTTTTTAGTAAATCATTTCGTTGTTTTTTTGAGATTACTTTCATTTGGTTAAGAAGATGTGCAATTTGAGAAAACTCAGGTATGACACCATTATTCCCAGCTAGAATTGAACCACCAAGTAATTCAAGTCTGTCTAGGAGTTGATGTGGGTTGTTAAAGTAAACAATACCCTGTCCTCGCTGGGTCAGTCCTTCGCCTACCTTATATTTAAGCGATCTTAAGTAATCTTTCATAGTATTTCTATATTTCATTAGTGTTCCTTTTTGCATTTTTTTAATTTCAGTTTCAGCTTCATATAATGGAGATGGATTTTTAGCTTTCTTTCTACCACTAATTTCACCATTTAGTTGTTTTATATTATCTTTTAATTGATCTAAAGTTAGATCTAAAACTTTAGGATTAATTTCAAAAAAATCGTTTGGTCTTGGGAATCCATATTCTTTTAATAACTCTAGATCTCTCCCTTCAAAATTTTTTTCTAAATTTAACATTCTAACATCATCTGAAGGACTGGATTCTGGTAACCAAACTCTATCCCAACCTTCTTCGTTGTCATATGGTAATTCTCTCATATCAGCTAATCGGTTGAACTGTTCAAAACCTTGAGTAAGAGCAAGTTGATTAGCTTTAAGTTGTGCTATAGTTGTGTTTTGTTGCTCATCACTACTTTTTTTAATACTATCTTGAGATTTAATAAGTGGTTTAAATGCCTCTTTAAAACCTTCCCGTGCATCTTGTTTTTGCCATTTTGTTATTTTTATTACATCTCTCACCTGTTGAGTCAAATCGTCAGCTTCAATTTTATTTCTTGCAAATTTTTTAGCTTCTTCAATATCCATTTTTATCTAATAAATAGATAAATGGAAATACCAAACTATGATAGTACCGATGACCTAGATAAAAAATATAAACAGTTATTTACTTACATGCCATCAGACACATTCACATTTCGAATGTTAATTTGTGGAAACAGTAGAAGTGGTAAGACTAATCTGTTATATCACATGTTAATTAAACCACTGTTGTACTTCGATGAGATTTATCTTTACGCGCGTAATTTAGAGCAGGATAAATATCAAAAATTAATGCAAAAATGAGAGAACTGAGTTCTAAAGTTGGATATGAAATACTTCATGTGAGTAATGATGAAATAACTCCAGTGTCAGAAATGTATTACGAAGACAATCAAAAACTTGTGATATTTGATGATTACGTCTGTGATAAAAACCAGAGACAACTTATTGATTATTTCACTCAAGGACGACATAAGAATTGCTCTGTAATATACCTCAGTCAATCATTTTACAAAACTCCAAAGGATATTCGGCTGAATTGTTCTCACTACTGTCTGTACGAATTTCCATCATCGAGGGAATCAAACAGAATATCATCCGAATTAGGAGTTGACAAAGAGACATATAAAGCAGCAACAAAAAAACCCTTTACATTTCTATATGTTGATAAACCTAGAACACGTATTGCTAAAAACTTTACTAGTAATCTAAACTAATAAATAAAAATGGGTATATTTAACGAACAATCTTTTAATCATCCTTTTGCTAAAGGAATTCAGGGTGCTCCAGGAGTTGGTTTTAGTCTAACCGCAGATGGAAATTATGATATAAATGGTAAAAGACTCACAAATGTTGGCGCACCTAATTCTAATACTGATGCTGCTACAAAAAAATATGTTGATGACAATTCCAGTGGATCATTATTATCATCAAAACTAACAGTTGATTCAAATATTGACATGAATCAAAAAATGATAAAAAATCTTTATCCTCCGCAAGATATTAATGATTCAGCTACAAAATTTTATGTGGACAACAAATTTCTTCAAGTAAGTGGAAGTAATTCAATGAAAGGTAATCTTAATATGGATAGTAAAAAAATAGTAAATGTTAATGCTCCAACAAATCAAAATGACGCATCAAACAAAAAATATGTTGATGATACAGTTACAGCTAACAAAGTTGATGTTAGTCCTTATTTTAAAAAAGATGGATCGCAAAAAATGACTGGAAATATTGATATGAATAATAATAGAATCTATAATCTTCCAGCTCCAACAGGTGGATATCAACCAACACCATTAGCTTTTACAGATTTGAAGTATCTCCACGTTGCTGGAACAAATAAAATGACTAATAATCTAAACATGGATAATAAAGGTATAATTCATTTAAAACCACCAACATCAAACACAGATGCTGCAACCAAAAAGTATGTGGATGATAACACAGGTGCCCCAGATTTAAGTGATTACTTGGAAAAAGATGGTACCATTGCTATGACTGGAGACTTGAATCTTAACAACAATAAAATAGCTGGTCTCGCAACTCCAACATCAAACACAGACGCCGCAACAAAGAAATATGTGGATGATAATGCTGGAAGTCCAGATTTAAGTGATTATTTGGAAAAAGATGGTACTGTCGCTATGACTGGAAACTTTAATGTTGGTAATAATAAAATAATAAATCTTAGTAAACCAACCCAAGACAATGAAGCAGTAACTAAGGATTATGCTGACAAACTAGTTCATCACACTGCAGTTCAACCAAGCCATTACAACGACCAGTTTGCTTATCTTATGTCTAGTGGGGCACAATGGAGTGATGAAACAGATGGTGGAAATAGTTTTTTGTGTCAAGAATAGGAGACTTATCTCCTTCTAAAGGTAATTTTCATAACTATAACCACAAAGTAATTTTTTTAACAATAAACAAAAGTTCTCAAGGTGGATACAAGTACAAAATGGGAATCAACTTTTACAGATTAACTGCAAATGCTGATTACACGTTATGTTTGGAAATACTCAACACTGATTATCAACTGTGGCATAAGTCTCAAATAAGTGTAGACAAAGGAACTTCTAGAGGATTATCAATTGAAAATGTTAGTGTAAAGAAACTCTCCCATAGTTACAGCGATCCAAAGGGACAAGCACAATTTATGTATTATCACAGAATAATAGTTAATTTTAGGAAGTTGTCATCCGGTAATAAGTTCTTTCTTCATATTCTAGTTAATATACCACAAGATGGAACTGACCTAGCTGTGTATCCGAGACAGTTTTCAGGAGTTTATATAATTACTTATGGAATTGTGGGAAAAATTAGCAATATCGATCCAGATAAAGTTTACGACTATCACACCGCATTTGATATCAAACCAACAGAAGTGGTGTACAACGTTGATATAAATGCAAATAATAAAAAAATATTAAAAATTAATCTTGATAGAAACAGTAACAATGGTGCAGCAACAGTTGGAATGGTAAAAGAAATTCATCCTTTTACAAAAAATTATATTTATAAAAAAAATTTTGAAGATTTTTTTGACTTTAATGATTCAAATATTTACATCTTAAACAAAATTTCATCTGGGGTTGTTTTTAATTCCTTATCTTCTATTACAGGAAATGCTGCAAGAAATATTACCTTTCCAACTAAAACAATTGATAATATAAAAAAAGGTGGATTAAATATTAATGGTTATACTATTTCTAATTCATCAGCTAATAAACTTACAAGCTATACTTTATGTATTGTTTTTACTCTTTGGAGAAATAGAAATTTTAGTATAACTAAAAAAGATGAAAATAGCAATCAAACTTTATTATATTTATACTATCTTATGAGACATTTACCAGCGGGTAAATGCAGTTAATGGAGCATGAAGCCCCAGGGGGGTACGCAGAGAAAGCATGCCTCGTCTTAGGCTCGGTGATGTCTTGAAAGCCCGTTTCATTAAATGAAAGCACTCTATTCTTTAAGCAGAAAACAAAAGCTTTTCATGGCTAGAACCTCACTGAGTAGTCGCATGTTTGTCATCGTATATTTTCTTACCTTCGCAAAGATTGGTCCCTGTATTCAAAGCCCTATTCAGTTCTATTCACGGCCAGACCTTAGTCATGATGAGTTGAGATAGTTAATAGTACAACTGTGCCTATTGGCCGTATTTTGAGACACTGTCTGGCTATAAAGCTTTGCAAATGCCACTTCTAGTCATTATTTGGTTAGCTTGCACGAAAGCAATCACTTAAAGTAGTTTTGTTATGGCTCGTCCACGTTCCCAACCTGCGACATCGCGTCCAAGTACCGACCTTTCAAAGCTTTCCAGCGAAGTACTCCGGCTTCGTTTGCAACAACTGAATCTTCCTGTCACGGGAAACCACGCTCGCTTGGTCGAAAGGCTTCGTTCAGCGAATGGAACCCGCCAGCTCTCTGCACCCACGCGAACCAAACGGGCTGATGGTCGAGTGGCCAAGAGGTCACCAACCTCGTCGAAGCGCTCCAAACAGGCCGCACGGAGTCTCAATCGTCAATCCGCCACGTCCAACTTGCATTCCGAACCTCAAGACCGAGATGAAGTCTTGGACCACTTCCAAGAGGAGGAGGAGTCTGCCACAAGCGACCTTTTGGTCGATTTAAACGCAGAACCAATGGAACCCATGGAGTTGTGTGATGCTGTTTTTACCCCGGCTCAACTAACGGCGATCCAGGACACTGTTTCGTCGACTGTTCAAGCAGTGTTTCAATCGCTCCCACACAACGACGTTATCCCGCTTGCTCCCGCGTTTTCCAGCACTCCAAGTCCTCGTGTTCCTTCTGTGGTGTCTCCGAACGGCCTCAATCGTCCCTTGGACAAGACACTCGAGGATAAAATACTCCGCGGTGAGTGCGTTGATTTCTCTTTGCTTTTGCCAGAAACACTGTACCAGACCCAGACCTCGCAATCTTACCATCGCATGGGATAGGATAGATATCGAACTTTGGACGGTGACCTTTACGGGTACCACTAAGCCCCATTGTTCTATATGCTCTAGCCCGTACCATCAATTTGATGACTGCCCCCACCAAGAACCCAGCAAAAAGCCTCGCCGGTCTGCCCTCGTTTGCTTCGATTTCAACAAACCCTCAGGGTGTCAGCGACGTACCTGTCACTTCCCCCACAATTGCCACCGTTGTGGATCCAGCAGTCACGCACTCTTCAATTGCCCCAGCTCCAAACAGCATGCCACAAGCACCAAATCAGCAACCCCGGGCGATCGCAGCAAAAAATAAAGTGGAACGGTGCCAGCGGAAGCAGAGACCAACAGTGTCCACCCCTCTCGATGTAGATAAAGTAGTGCTTGAATTAGTTAATCACCCTAATCGATCTTTTGTTGATAACTTAGTTAATGCCCTCAGGTACGGGACTCGTATCGGTTACCTTGGTCCCCAAAAATTCCGGGTATCCAATAACTTGATCTCCGCTTCCCAACACCCCGAGGTTATTTCTGCGAATTTAAGTAAGGAAATGTCGTTGGGTAGAGTTGCAGGCCCCTTTCTCTCGCCCCCACTCCCCAATTTCCAGTGCCACCCTATCGGCGTGGTGCCAAAAAAGCACTCCACGGAATGGCGCACTATCTATCACCTATCCTATCCACCGGGTGACAGCGTAAATGATCATATTCCAAAAGACCCTTATTCTCTTCAGTATGTACGGGTAGACGACGCAATAAGCATTCTGAAGTCCTTGGGTCCCAGGGCGTACATGGCTAAAACCGACCTTAAATCGGCGTTCCGTATTATACCTATTCACCCGGATGATTGGAACCTGTTGGGTATTTATTGGCAATCACGTTACTATGTAGATCTGTACCTCCCATTTGGGCTCCGCAGTTCACCCTTCCTCTTTAATCAAATTTCTGATGCCTTAGAATGGATCTTAAAACACAACTACGGCTTGGACCATGTTATCCACATCCTGGACGACTTCTTTATCGCAGAGTCTTCTAAGCTGACCTGCTTAGAGAACTTTAGTACCCTTTTAAAAGCGTTCACGTCCTTCCGGGTACCAATAGTAGCAGCCAAAACCCTGGGCCCCTCCCAAGTCTTGGAATTTATGGGGATTGTGCTCGATAGTACCCGCATGGAAGCTAGGCTGCCGGAGGATAAGCTAGCTCGGATTAGTCAGCTCCTTGATTCCTTTAGTGCCCACCGCTCAGCCCGTCTAGTGGACCTCCAGTCCCTTATCGGCACCTTGCAATTTGCCTGTAAAGTAGTGGTCCCCGGGCGAACCTTTCTCCAGCGCATGATCAATCTCACCAGGGGTGTTCCCAGCCGTTTTCACCATATCTGTCTGAACAAGCAATTCCAACGGGATATTACTATGCGGAAAGTTTTTCTCACCCAATGGAACGGGCGGTCCTTCTTCCTTGATTCCTTTGTTACCTCCTCCCCTGACCTTGAATTGTACACAGATGCAGCTAGCACGGTTGGGTTCGGGGGGTATTTTAATGGGAAATGGTTCCAAGGGCACTGGCCGCCTCACCTTCTTATCAACAAGAAGACGGGGATTAGCATTGAATGGCAAGAACTTTTCCCTATTGTTATCGCTATGCCCTCTGGTACCCCCATTTTGCGGGTAAACGCCTTCAATTTTGGTGCGACAATGAAAGCGTCGTGGCTATTATCAACTCTGGTCACTCAAAAGCTCCCCGGGTGATGGACCTGGTCCGTTTTTTGGTTCTCATTTCCATGAAACACAACTTCTTGGTACGTGCCCGCCACGTTCCGGGGGTAGATAACGGAATTGCTGACGCCCTCTCACGTTTCCAGGTCAAACGCTTCAGGGATCTCGCACCCAATGCTGACCGGACCCCTTGTTTCCTCCCTCCTTCGTTCATGACCCTCTGAAGGATGAAGTTCTAAGGTATGCTAACTGGGCCTTATCATGGAACACCAAACGCACCTATTTTGCGTCTTATTTAGCCCGCACAGTTCGACATTGCACAATCAAAATATATTTAGCAGCCGTCAGGAATCTACATATAGTTTCAGGTTACGATGACCCCTTACAGGGCAAGCTGCTTTTAAAAAGGATTTTAAGGGACATTCTTCGTTACCAGGGTTGGTCTCGTATAAGTCGTCAGCCGGTCACCCCCCGGGTCCTGTTAGCTATACGCGACGTCCTTGAGAGCTGGTTGGATGTTCGGGATTTTTCTATGATCTGGGCGGCATTTACTCTAGCCTTTTTGCCTTTCTTCGTTGTAGCGACTTTCCGTACCCGGGGGCACGTAATTTTAGTTCCCAGTTTAACCTCACTACTGATTGCGTGATTTTCTCACCAAGTCTGGCTCGCCCGCAGCACATGCTTCTCAAACTTAAATCGTCTAAAACTGACAGTTTTCGACAGGGGCAATCTCTCGTTGTAGCTCGGTGCTCTTCTCTATTGTGCCCCGTTTCCGCGATGCAACGGTATTTTCTGCTTGCCCAGCCTCGGCCTGGGCCCCTTTTTTACTTTCAGTCGGGTCGGCTTCTCACTCGGTCCTCCGTTACGCATTTACTTCAGGACTCTGCTCGCTGTGCGGGACTCCCATACGAGAGTCTAAAAGGTCACAGTTTTCGTATAGGCGCCGCGTCTGCTGCGGCCGCTGCGGGCTTACCAGACTGGTTAATAAAAGTTTTAGGTCGTTGGTCCTCGGACTGCTATCAGCTGTATATTCGCAGTCCCGAAACAGTCTTGCTCTCTGCTGTTCCCAAAATGGCTCGCGTGTCAGGGAACTTTATTTAGTGTTTTGTTGTTGCTTGGGGGGATGCATTGCATGCATCTGTGGCGGTTAAGTCTGCGTTGCGACTTCCCCCAAGCTTTTGGCATTGCTTGTGTCTTGCCATCTTTTGAGCTATTCCTTTGCCTTAATCTTGTCCGATCCAGCCCGTGCGGCGCTGGGGAGATAAGAAAGGCTCTGCCAAGACTCTTGTCCTACCCCACGGTAGTGGGGCGACAAGTAAGGCTTGTGTTATTTTGTGCGCAAAACCCGAAGTCGCTATAACCTGCCAGAGGGCTGTGTCCCCCTCTTATTACGCCATCATGGAGTTGTTGTTTACTTAGCCTGCGTGCGTTATTTACTTGCGTGACGTTTGCATGCGTATCTTACAAGCGGAATAGTGACATTAAATTCAAATAATAATTTATATTTACATATTAGTAATACAAGAAAAAATATAGTAATTCCAAGTAGTTTTAACGGACAAAAAGTAGTTTTATGGTTATCAGAAAGTATTAATAATCATGTTACAAAAGTTAAAATAAGTAACTACTCCTCAGAAATAGTTGCTCCTGTTGTTAGTCATTCAAATAACCAAAAATTTGAATTTTTAAATCAAGATGGAGTAATAGAAAAATTTATGTACTCCCCAAACTTTTACGACACCGACTCTATAGAATATCATAAAATAATACTTCAAGAAAAGTTAAATGAATCTTATATATTATAGATATAAATGAAAGATATCTTTGAATTCAATCATATTGATAAATCTCTGTCAGAATCAGATGTCAAAACCCTAAAAGACTTTTATAGTCATTACCACAAAAAATATTGGTGTTTTAAGAAATCTTATAAGAGTTATAAATTTCTTGATGATGTTTTTACAATATCTGGAATATGTTTGGTTGCAATTGGAACTATTTCCGGTGGAATAACACTAAACCCTGTTGTTCTTGGTGTTGTAAATGGTACTGGTGTAATTGTTGCTGGAATAGGAAAGAAAAATAATTACAAAAGAAAAATTGAAATGTCAAAGATTGCAGTTACTACTTATGAAAAAGTACTGGTTGAACTACGAGCAGCTCTTCGAGGAGATGAGTGGAACAAACAAGAGTTTGTTGATCGTATGAAGTTGTTAGATGAAATGATAATTGATCAGTCTCCTATAGCAGATAGATTTGATAGTAGATATAAAAAAAATTTTAACCTAAGTATAAATTAGAATGGAAAATTTTGAAAAATTTGATAAACAACTACTTAGTTCTTACAAATTAACTTTAGCTATAGAAGGGGAAAAAATTTGTAAAGAAATTGATTCTATACTTGGAGATTATGATGAATTGTTATTAGAAAAAGCTAATACTTATTGTCTTTTTTTTACTGATCCAAAAAGATTTAGTTTTGATTGAAAATTGGTTGATAGATGTAAAAAGTATTTAGATGATATGAGAAACTATAGAGATATCAAGGATACTTTAGAACATATTTCGAGATTAAGAAAAATGGTTTAAAGATTAAGATGTTAAATAGTATATAATTCCTAGTTGTTTATTTATAAAAGATTTTTCTAACATTTTGATATTAGTACTAATATCAAAATTAGATGTTTTTCTCAATCCGATGAATTACCTTATAATGACTATTTAGAGTTTTTTTATTTTTAAACGCTTTTGAGCAATATTTACATGGAATACGCACACCAGCCATATATTTATGAATAAGTTTGCTGATCTTATCATAATCATTACTTAGTATAAACGCATATTCATTATCACGGTACTTTTCTTTCATTTTTAGTTGTGATTCTGATACACAGTAATTGTTAGTTGGTGATTTGAATTTGATACAGAGACCTTTATAATCTTTGTGAAAATCAAGAATCATTAAATCTGGTTGACCTCGCATATAGCCTTTTTTCCAACTGTTAATTCTTTTGTCTGGTGTATCTTGGTTTTCCCCAAGTCCTGGAACCATAATAGCATTTGGATAAACATTTCTAATTAGTTCAACAACTTTAGAGTGTAAATCCATTTCATTTTCAATCTTAAACATTTTATTATTTGGGTTGTCAAAAAGTTTGTAATAGCCAAATTTTCTTATAGATGGAAGTACTTCTGAGGTAATCCAATGTTTAAACTTTTTGGTGATTTCTAATTTAGAGGATAAAACAAGGGAGTAGAAACCACTTTCATTTATGAATGTATAATATTTACCTCGTAAATCAGAATTGTTGTCGTTCCCATTTTGGGTACGCCAACAAATCAGCTTTTTATCCTCACTATCAACATGATTCCAGATAGCTTTTCTTACATTACTATAACCAAGTAACTCAGCAACTTCTTTTCCGAGAAACCAAGTATTTTGCTGATTATCAATAAATGATGTTAACTCAATTCCTAACTCTTCATTTTTAAAAGTTTTTTCCAACATATTTGACATTTATATTATCATTTTTATCTTTAAACCTTAATTAATTTTCTATTTAAACTAAATAGAAAATGGTAGTATCATTTTTATTTTTTATCTTCATATAAGATAGAATCTATTTTAGACCAATTAATAAAAAGTTTTTACATAAAAACCTTTTAATATCATAATACAAATCTTCATTTAATTCCATTTCAAAATCTAACATAAGAAATATTTTTTCAATGCTTTCCAAATCAGGACTAAAAGAAACAGAAGAAGGAATTGCTTCTAAAAGTTTTTCCCTTGCATCTTCTGTTTTATTCATAACATAACTTTGATATTTATCAAACCAACTACAACTATTAAACTCTTGTTTATTTTCTCGTTTGACTTGAAAATACATTGCAACATTTTCTGCTATTCTAAGGTCCTCTTTTGTTTTTTTAATTAAATCTTTAGAATTTTCTAAATCTTTAATAAATACTCTTAAATCAGAAAGAAGCTTTATTCCTTCTTTTTTTGTATCTTCTTTAGTAATAACAACACTCATTTTTATATTTAATTATATTAATTTTCTATCTACACTTAAGATAGAAATGATCAAATCAATTGTAGCATATGTAAACTTCTACTTCCCAACTTATAAAAATCAATTTTATTCAGATAACGTCATAAAAGCGTGTCTTGTTTACCAGTTTCTGTACATAAAGTATTTTACTCAAAAACTAGACATTGAACAAATTATTTACAGACTAACAGAAGCAAGACACTATCTTAACTCAGATTCAAATATTATTAAAAATCACTTAATATTTAATCTCGCTTTCAAAGCTTTTTGGAAACATTATAAAACTGGAAGAGGATGTGTTTATACTATCAATACTCCTTTCAAAGAATGTGAAGTACTTGGTTATCTAACTAGAATTTTTTACTGTTTTTTTCACAGAGGTGTTGTTGAGTGATTTATAACTATCCCACCACTTTTCATAATTCTCTAAAGTTTGAGGACTAATCTCAAGACAAACTAGTTTGTACTTTTCACAACCCATTTCCTCCAAAAGTTTTTTGATTAAATAAAAAATACTTATCATTCTCTTTCTACAGTATTGCTTGTTTAGTATTTCCATAACATTATTGTCTATTGTCATTAGTTTATTGTAAAGTTCATATTTTTGTTCATCAGTTAGGTTTATTCTTTTAGAAACTTGATTAACCTTTTTCTCATGGTGATACTTTCTCTGATAAATACTCTTTTTTCGAAAATATAATCTATCGTAATCTTTAACATCGTAAAAGCCTAATACATGTCCGTTTGCTACTCCACAGTAATCACAGATTTTATAACCAGAATCAATGGTAAAACATTCACTATTTTGACAATTACAACATCTAGCTTTTTTACTATTATCCTCTTCCTCTACAGGTTGACTAGCATACTTATGCAATATTTCTAGATATTGCTTTATTTGATCTTCTGTATATGACATTTATTATTTATACCTTATTACCTTAGAGCTATCGTTTTTACTTTTCCCAAGAGCAATTCGCGTTTATCATCTTCATTACTTAGAGCTACTTTGTTAACTTCTTTTGAATATATATCATGATTTTCACTTCTTATTATTTTCATTTTTCTCATTTGCTTTTTACCCAAAAATAAACATTGAACATAATCATCAAAATCTAATTTCTTTTTTATAATATTTTTCTTTATTCCTTTACATTTACGTACTTCTTTATCTTTTTCAATTCTAAAACTGTAAAGTTTGGGGCGCAATCCAACAAAACAAGTTATTTGTTTTCCTGCTACTTCATCTTTAAACATCCCAATTACTTTTTTGTTATCTCCTGTTGGTATTCCAGATTCGTGATCAGGAGGATAATCAGAAGTGTCAAACTTGGTTAGTATGTCATGTGATATATCTTTGTAAAAATCATCTGTTTTAATCTGGTACAAAAATGAGTCCGTATCTGTAAACAATAACTCAGCTTTTTCTTTATCTTTCTTTTTGATGTAGTTATAATGAAAATCAAACATTAATGTTTTTGATAAATCTAGAATTGCTTGACCAACATATACTGGTTTGTTAAAATAAACTTCTGTTTTTTTCATATGAACAGCAATAAGATTTTTATCAAATATTGTTACTCTATCAAAGTTTGGTCGACTTGTTAGTTTGGCAGCTTTTTTACGATTATCAATAAGAAATATATTCTGCCTTTTCCTTATGTTTTCTATTGTTTTCCCAAATACTGAATTATTCATTAGTTTGAAAAAGTCTTTTTCAAAACTGTTGGCTGCTGTTTTTCGAAGTTCTGTATTTTTTCTTATATATGGTTCCATCCAAGAACTTTGATAGAATGATATTCCTCTATGAACAGCAGTTATTCTCATTCCCATTTCAAGATATTGTCTAAGATTTCGATAATGTACAACATAGTTTTTTCTTGGTTTAAAATGACAAATTAGTTTTTCAACACCATTAACAATCATCTTCTCAGGTGCTAGAGGATAGTCATTATGATCTTCCCATAGGCTGGAAGGATATTCCAAATCAACTTCAAATATATATCCTTTTCTTCCACGATTAAACATACTATGATTTGCTTTCTCTAGAATTTCCATTAGGGACTCTTTTGTTAGGTTTCTCATCCATTTAAATCCATGTGTCGGAAGTTGTTGAGACATTGCCCAACCGTAAAGATTGTTTGCATCAAGATATTGAATATAACTAGACTCCTCAGCAGGATTATAATCTTTCGTGTATTTGTTATTCGCTTCTGCGTATCTTTTTAATATGTGAGATATTCCACCACGAATACCTTTTTCAAACATCATTAACATATCATAATCATGTAGTAACTGTAATTCCTGACCTGTTTCTTTGAGACATGCATCCCAAGCTAAACCTGGAGATGTGTAATAATGAGCTGGATCTAGCTTGTAATGTTTGAGACAAGTTTTTCTAAAGTTTTCAAATACATCTGACAGAAGTAGGACATCAGACTTTAGGTAAAGATTATGATAATCTCTTATTGATTTACATTCAAAGGTATTCCATACATTTATAGCATGTTGGTAATCATCATCACTTATTTCTTCATCATTTAGCTTTGAATAGAATTCCTCTTTTGGAGGTAATTGTGTTTCGGATAATTTATCTAGAGATGAAACATAGTCATAAGGATAAACTCCCTTACGAGTTAGTAGGTTTACATTTTTCTTAAATACTTGTTTTGTATTATGAAAATCATCTGTTTGTAAATTTCCAACAAGATTGGCAAGTGATGTTTGAAGAAACTTGAATGAATCTATAAATAGTATTTCAAAATTTATTGGAACCATTAATCCACTTTTATTAGACCTATACTCATCAACCTTAATACTTTTAGAAAAGGAAATTTATTTTTCCTCTGTTGATGGAATACAGTTCAAATCACCTGGTAAACGAGCAAGTTGTTTTATAAATAAATGAGCATCATATCCTTGAAGATTATGAAATATAACTGGAAGAATCATTGGTTTTCGACACTGCAAATTACAACTGTTATGAGCTGCTCCACGGTACTGACCGGTAAAATGACAATGATCTCTAACTTTGTCATTTATTAGTTTTTTATTACAAATATGACAAGTTTCAGCTTTATCAAATGATTTTTGTTCATCTTGAGTTAGTCTAAGAGGTTTTGGTCTACGATAAAAATCGTTATAAATACCTTTAGTTACTTCTGTAAGTTTTTTCTACAAATACTTTTGATATATCTTCATCTTCTTTTTTTCTTGGTATAAATGATTGGTTTAAATTTTTTATCAACCACTCCTTTTATATAAAAACAAAATCCTGATGGTTCATGCTTTTGGTAGTTGTAATTATACGATTCTTTTGGATTAGGACTGCAAGTATTCATTGGTTTGGTAAAACATTCAAAATCTGCATAAACTACAAAAGGAATAGGAAGTTGTTTGTAGTAATTTTTGAAAAGTAACATTGTGTTTGGTTGAGGCATTTTTACAGAAACTGTTTCATTTTTTGAACAATATACGATATGTTTTTGTAATAATTCATCCTTAGTGAAATGTGTAAAACACTTCTTACAAATAAATATTGTACCATTCTTACTTGCAGTTATTTGTGATTTAATCAAACGAGTAAAGTTTTTAATTAGTGAATAATGTGAAACACCATCTTCTTCGTACAAAAATAAATCAATAGTATTTAAACAATCTCTCTCTGCCATTCTCAAAGGATAAAAGTTCTTGTTTTCATTAACTGAAAACACATTGATCCCTGGAAGTTCTGGATTAAGTTTTTCAAATTTGGTAATGTCTTTTAATTTCATAGGAAAAGTAATTCCTTTAGTGTTAAGTGAAAACTCATACTTTTTCAAACCTGTTAGTCTTTGTTCATCTCTTTCTTTAGGATGAAGATATCTAAGTATACACCAAAGAAAGCATTTCTCATCTTTGCTTTGAATATTAACAATTGCTTTTTTATTTGATATCCAATCTGGAAGAGGAATGTAAGATGACCCTTTTGTTGGATTATATTCAACAGTATGAATTTCAAGTTTTTCCACTTCTTTAAAATACCATGCACTTCCAGTTTCTTGATAATTTTCAATACCTCCTTCAATACCATCTATACATATTTTAATTAATTTGTCAACATCTGTTGATTTAATATTATACGTACCTGAAGTAAAGTAAGATTTACCTTCTTCTAATCCTGCAACACCAACATTTTGTTGAATAGTTTGTTTTTCCATGATACAAACCAAAATCATCTTAAATTTTATATTTCGATGATATGTACAAAAATCTTTTAAAGTTTTATTTATTCGCTCAAAAAACTGAATTGGAGTAAGACCAGGAATTCCTTGAATAGTATACTTAACAGCAAAGTCTTCAAAAGCTGATTTTTCTTTTTCAAGTCCTTGGTCATATTCTAAAATAGCTCGCTCAAGAGCTTCACGTAAATAAGAAGGAGTATCTTTGGGAATCTTTCTATTTTTTATACATTCCTCAAAATACTCGTCAAATGATTTTATCTTTTTCTTTTTGGAAGGGGCCGTCAAAACGACGGGGGGTTTAGGTTTTTTAATTTCTTTTTTTATATCTATACCTTGTTTCACTTTTTCTCTAGCTTCTATTAATTTTTTACATTGTTTAATTAATTTTCTTCTTTCTTCTAATTCCTTATAATCTTTCTTAAGTTCTTCTTTTTCTTCTGCTATTAAATGCCTTATTTCATCTAAAGATAAATTCTGAAATTTTTTATCTGTTATAAAAGGTTGAGAACCTTCGAAACCATCAGTTGATTGGTTAGACATGACGTCTTATAATAAGATTATATTATTAGACGTAAATGTTTAAGTTCTAATTTTTCAATGTCACTATCAAATGCCGACATATAATCTTCTCCATCATCAAAACATACAATTTTATCATAAAATTTACAAAACAACTCATAAAAATCTCTGTAATCTAAGTTATCAATATCTTCAAAATCATTTTCATAAATCAAAATTAGATATAAATCTTCTATAAAAGAAAAATCATAATTTCTTAAAATAAGACTACTAATATCTTGAAGTTTACCTCTTTCTTGACCTTTTAAAAATCTTTTTATAAAATATTTAATACTGTCATAATATTCAGGATAAAAAAGTTTTTCATTATCTGTTTCATATTTTGATATAAAATTAAAACACATTTTGTCAATACCTCTTAAAACAAGGTATTCTTTTTTGTAATCCCTTGCATATTCTGGGATTTTGGAATTAATACTTTTGACGCAGTTTTTTTGCTCCGTGATACCCATTTCTGTAACTACTAGGATCGTCTCGAGCCTTCTCCCCCGTTTACATTCTCAGCAGTTGATTATTTTGGACCCTGGTTCGTGAAGGAAGGTCGGAAGCAGCTAAAAAGATATGGAGTACTGTTTACATGCCTATGCTCCCGAGCGATCCACCTTGAAGTTTCGAACACACTTAGCACAGATTCCTTTATAAACGCTTATCGTCGCCTCATCGGTCGCCGTGGACCAGTGCGCCAGCTTTGATCCGATCAAGGCACCAACTTTGTTGGAGCAATGAACGAACTGCAACAAGCTCTTTCCGAATTAAATCAGGAGCAGATAAGAGAAGAGTTGCTGAACGGTAGCTGCGATTGGGTGAAGTTTAAGATGAACGTTCCACACGCAAGCCACATGGGAGGAGTTTGGGAACGTCAGATACGGACGGTGCGAAGTGTCCTAGCCTTGTTATTAGAACGTCACGGAAGCCAGCTAGATGACAAATCACTGAGAACGTTCATGGTTGAAGCCGAAGCGATCGTTAATTGTCAGCCTTTAACAGTTGACAGCATCAGTTCCTCGCAGTTTTCCGAGCCGCTGACGCCCAACCACTTACTCACCATGAAGTCGAAAGTTGTCTTACCTCCTCCGGGTGATTTCCAACGCGTTGATCTATACCTAAGCAAGCGATGGCGTTGTGTCCAATACCTAGTAAATGAATTCTGGTGCAAATGGAAAAGAGAATTTCTGCAGTCCTTGCAGTCAAGACAGAAATGGATTTCAGTGAAGCGAAATCTACAAGTGGATGATGTCGTGATCGTAAAGGACGACAGTTTGCCAAGAAACCGCTGGAAGCTACAACCAGTTGCAAAAGTACTTGAGACACTGTACCGTATTTTGGCATTGATGGCCTGTCCATGATCTTGTGCTTGTGATCCCCCCTCCACCCCTTATCAAAGTTGCTAGCAATACAAGACCATACTCAAAACTTAGAGGAACAACTTTGAATGGGAGGGAGGAGGGAGGTCAGTATTATATTTTACAGACCTGTGACCAGGAGAGATTTGAAGCGAGAAAGGTCGTTTTTCCGTAGGAGTGTCTCATCATTTTTGCAACTGGTTGTAGCTCGTGTCAGCGAGACTTATCCCGACAACGACGGTCTGGTCAGGAAAGTAAGAATCGTGGTTGCCACAGACGCCCTTGACAACCTTGGCAGGCCCACAAAGGCAGTTGTGTACCTTGAACGACCTGTCCAAAAACTGGTTCTATTGTTCCCTACCAATCAAGTTGCAGACCGGGGAATCCCCTCCGAGGAGCCATAGCAGTACAAAGTATAATGTTGACCTGATATCAGCCAGAATCCCAATAAGAGACAATGAACAATGATCGAATGACTTTTATTAAGTTTGTTTCGTTTGTTAAGTAAATTGTTGCTACAATTTAGGCGAGCCATGTTACGAATGCGTTACTTCGTATTGCGTTACTAAGGTGCATGCGCACCAGCTTAGGGGGCGAGGCCCGATGATTGTGTCATCGTTTGTAATCCTGCTTTGTGCTTTATGCCTATATCGTGATCGGTTATGTGAACGTCTATAAGGTACAATCATTTTAATCGGGAAAAGAGGTATGATTCTTCGTTTAATATATATTTTTTGCCTTTATTGTTGCATGAATCACGGATAAATCAGTCTTTATTTACCTACCGAACTAGTCGATTATCGTATTTGCTTTGTATCATGTTATCGCCGAGTTATTTAAGACATTGTGTTCAAGTCTCTTAGCTAGACTCTCGATAATTTCATTGTTGTTTCTGTTACAGTTTCTAAGTGCCTAAACGATAAATAAATTTGTGAAGTATCACTGATCGCTATCTATGGTTTTGGTCGATACCTTTAACGCAACGTGATGACCAGTACGCTACAATAAAAGTGATCACACTGTCCATGAATAGAACAAAATAAAACCCAACAGGGAGGGAGGGAGGGAAATGATTGCTAGTGCAATAAAAGTGAATGTTGCTACTGCAATGCCGAGTGAGAATGTGACTAAACTAGAATTGTATCTGTCTGTAACCCATATTACAGTCGTGGTATTCCTATCTACCGTAAAACTACTATATCCTAGGTAGTAGACAAATGGTATTATGAAATCTCTCATGCCAAAAAACTACTGTGATGCTGTACTAGCCCTGCATCCCAATGTGACACCTTCCCTGGAGATTTAGAACCGCATCAGTCGTCTCAACTGATGCACCCCCTTAATAACAATAATTTAAAGGAACAAATTTTTTTAAAAAAATATAGAGATATAAATGTATATAACGTTTTCTTGTCTTGTGAAAAACCATTCTATTAAATATTTTGACACAAACAATCTGCACATCTATTTCATTTGTCAAAGCTGTTTTTCAAAATACAATTGTCAAATTATGTTTACGTCCTCTCAGTGACTATTTAACAGCTACTAGAACACGAATACGTCCACTTGCATTATTATCATCCGCAAAGGGGTTTTGCAATTTGCAATAACCAAAGACAGAAGTTCGTTAATGACTGCTTACAACTCTTCGCGAGTGCAAATTCTACAAATTTTATTTATTTCTTTGACGTTCGCATATTTCCAACATGTGTGACGATTCAATATACTGGAAATTTATATACAGCAAGAATAATTAGCATTAAGATTATCATTATCAATCCTTCGATCGAAATTAGATTTTAGCGCGAATGGTATTGCCCCCCAAGTAGAATAGAACAGACTTCTCCAGGTCGAAGCTGTGCTCGCAGAGATTACTCCAAACAGGACTTCTAAACCTTTCTACTTACAATGTATCGCGGTATTCAAATTCCCTATTCTTCCAACTCGATCGGAGTCGTCGAGTTGTTTCTGGTCTCTTCAAGTATTATAAAAAATCCACGGGTGTTTACAGAAAGCGTTCTCGATCATTAACATCTCGATATTCGTAAATCGAACGCTATGGCGCATAAAATAATCTCGATTAATCGGCTCCGTATCGTTGTTACTTTTCTTCAAGCTACATTCCACCCAAAGCACTCGACAGCTATTTGCTTCGAAGTTTCCCTGTTCGACATTTCTGTCGAGCTTAGTCCTTTCGCGGTCAAGTCAATGTTTTGGTTGAGCTCTGAGCCAATCAGATTGCAGGAATTACATATCCAGATCTGGTTGTGGCCCGGGCTGCTCAGGGAAATGAAAGTTTGGTTCCAAAGTTCCTAAAATACGTTTTGCTGCTGCTGTTGCTCAGACAAACCTGGGGAAACAATACCTAGTGGACACTTTACACTGTGCTGATAAAGAACCTGGTGAAATTACTGAACAAGAAATAACAATGATTGACTATGAGAGAAATGCAGGACAGAAAAGGAAGTCAAGTGTTGAATTAAAACAACAACGTAGGCTGAACTATTTGAAAACGAAATCGAGAAACAAATCTGAATCAAATCGAGAGGAAATCAGCTACAAAATTGGCATTACAGTAACCCTTGACCCTGATGTATTACAAAAAGGAGTTCTCACACCACAAGAATTAAAAGAATGCAAAAAATATGTACCCGCTTTTCGCGAACGACCTTCTAAGAAGTATATCACATGTCCTGACGACAAAAGAAGTGTTATAGGCATTATCTTTGTAATATTTGACACGGAAACAAGCTGTGGAGGCAGCCAGCTGAAATCATTCAATTAGTAGCCAAAACAAAGAAAGGAACGTCATTTTCCACATTTACAATGCCGACAAAAGATATTTTTTCTGATGTTCTTCATGTTAACAAGTTCAATGTATCTTGGGTTGCAGGGAATGTGTCTGTACCGTGGAGGCAACATTTTGCAAACAGTTCCTTTTCACGATGTCTTCGATTATCTATTGATTTCCTTGCAGATTCAAAGGGTTCTTGTCACAAAACCGTTCTTAATGACCACAACTCTGCACCTTTTGATGCACATATACTGTTAAGAACAATTCAAGACTACACAACAGAGCTTCTTCAGACATTGAGGGAATTAAATATCCATTTGCTGATAGTCTTATCCCGTTCGGCAACTTGATAAAAGAAAAGCACGTGGGACTAAAACAATACGACGGATCCTTCGTAAAAATACATCAAGAAGAGCTTTACAAACACCTATTCGGTACTGAATTTCAGGGTCATCATGCGCTCGAAGATGTAAAGGCAAAAAGCAAATTTTGATTGGTTACATTTGTATCTCTTTCCAAAATTGCCAACAAAAGTGGCACAACCGACATTAACTCAGCCATCACAGATATGAACTTTGACTGAAGTCACGCTCCTTTTAAGTCATTTGATGGACTAATAGCAGATCCCTCAGGTGGCGGAATAATGAAGAAGTCTAAAGCCAAAAAGTTTGCTGATTTTGGACTCCATTTTCACCACTTTAACAGCCTGTTCGACACACAAGGAGAAGAAGGACTTCTTACAATATTAGCGAATCCACCAACAAAAAGCATTCGTGTTCGTGGAAGTGCAGACCTGTTGACATTACATGTAATAATTATTATTAAGGGAGAAGATCATGCTATCAAAACCAGCTCGTTCTGTCGAAAATATCTGAGTGAGTGAGTTGCGAAAACTGTGACTTTGGGATTCGTTGTTGTGAATAAAGCTACATCAAGTGAATTGTCATAGATTTCTATGAATAAGGGGGGCCCGGATTCCCGACAAGGTGGCATCTCCGACGGGACCAGATAAACTGCAGGGAATTGAAATACAGTGAAACTACTTCAGTCTTAAAGCATGAAAGAGGCAATGTCAACTTTCGACACGAAGCTCAATCCACTTCAGTTCGCCCGCGGAAAAACGAAGGAAACAATACAAAGCGGGAGACGTGACAGAATTGAAAGGCAAGTGAATGTATTGAACGAGTTGTCGTATGAGATTGATAATTTCAGAAGAACAATCGAAGCGAAGAAGTTTGCCATGAAAGAAGACGTCCAAGAAATAGAGAAATGGAGTGATGAAGTCGAAGCAAAAATAAGTGAAGTGGACGATCACGTTTTACACCTGGGAAAGTGATTGAAGAACTTCAGTGGGAAGATAGCCAGAGGCTCCGAGAACGAGAGCTGGAATATCAGTGGACACTCTTCAAAACTTGTTAAAATTCCAAAGTGAGTTGTATCAGGCAAAATTCCAAGACCATCAAGGGGGTATAGCGGAGAACTCTGGCGTAAATTCAGCGACTGGATTAGAAGCGAAGTTGCCGAAGTTGGTTATAATTACATTCAATGGCACGTTTCAAGACTGGCCGCGATTCTGGGGAAGTACAGTAAAGTGACTGACAAGTTGAGCTTTGCAAGCAAGTTTTCTTATCTGCGAGAGTTATTAGCTCCAAAGGTGAGAACATCTATAGAAGCTTTGCGATTTTCACCTGAGGGTTACAATCGTCCTAAAAGCATATTGATGGATGAATAGGGCCAGGAATCAGAAATAATCAAGGCTTACAACAGAGAGTTTGGATCTGCCAGTTATTCCAGGCATAGATGTAAAAAGGATTCATGAGTTCAGTGAGCGATTATCATATTGCGTGCATTCTTTTGAGACAATGGGGAAATTAAATCAAGTGAACCGAAACGTATCAATGACACTGGATAAATTACCGGGTATTAGAGGCGATCTTGTTCGCACCAATCACTTGTGGGAAAGCTGGAATTTCTTGAAATTATGTGAAGCCCTTCACCTGTGGACAAGAAGAGACCCGCTTGATTCATCTGTGAAAACAAATTATGTCCCTCGCCGGCGGGAAACATTTAACAAGCTATTCAACGCCCAACAAAGGAAGACAAAACAGCGTGGGTGTGTCTATTGTGATCATACATTGCATGTTCCCTTGGAATGTCCAAAGATATCAACAGTGGATGAAAGGGAGCAATTTCTGGCACAACATCGCCTCTGTTTTAACTGTGCACGTGGCAGTCATGAAGCCCCAAATTGCTACAGCAGATCTTCATGCCGTACATGGAAATGCCGACATCATACTTCAATTTGTGACCGAACGGGGCCACAGCAAGAATTAGCACTAACCACCTTAGAAAAGGGAGATGGCATTTTTCCAGTCGTGAATTTGAAAGTAAATGTTGTTGAGTGTCGTGGGTTAATCAACACTGGTGTGGGAAGCTCTTACATTTAAGTGAATCGGATTGGCCTTCTGAAGATTAAACCTGTAAATGTGGAAGTCAAGCAAGTGGACATGTTGATGGGAACGTCAATGGCACCCCTTGAAACATATGAAACCTCAGTTACATCAGTTTGTGGGAATTTCAAAATGAACGTAAACTTAATCAAGGTGGAAAAGGGAGAGCTGTTGACAATAGACAACTACGAAGTAGTGATTGCAAAGTATCCACATTTAAAGGGAGTGAAAGTGCGTGACTGAGACACCAAACCTCAGTTGCCTGTTCATGTGGTGCTGGGGGCCAGAGAATACGCAAGGATCAAAACAGGGACACAACCACACGTGGAAAGAGAAGAGCCCCGTTGCTGAACTCACCAAACTAGGGTGGTTCGTGATGTCCCTGGACAGGAGTTTGATCGGACAGCGATGATGCTAACTTAGACATCCCAACTGGAATATAAGTAACTCTGCCAAATGGACATACTAGGGCTACGAGCCAACACTCGACCTTATGATCAGTGAGCTGTGTATAGCGAGTTTAAAGAGCAGTTAGTCAGGTCTGGTAAGGGCTGGTACAAAACTGGCTTACCCTGGAACGGAGATCGTTACTTGCCCAACAATGCGAAGGGAAGTCTGCAGCAACTACATGTACTTACACACAAATTAGACCAGTCAGGACAGACAGAAGAATATGACAGCATTATCTCAGAGCAGAAGGAGCAGGGTGTAGTCGAGATCCCCGAACGACCTGCCCAGGGGTTTGAGTTTTATATTCCCCATAAACCAGTGGTGAGGGAGAATGCCAAGTCCACAAAAATGCAGACTGTTTATGACGCATCTGCTCGAGCGAAACCATCAGCACTGTCCCTCAATGATTGTCTCAACGCTGGGCCACCGTTGCAAAACAAACTCTGGGATGTTCTTGTGCGTCAGTGGTCTTATCCCATAGCAGTAGCTGGAGATTTAAAGAAGGCATTCTTACCAGTGCATATAAGAGAAGCAGACACTGCGATGCGCTCAGATTTCACTGGAAGAGAGATGGCCTTTCTGAGCTAGAAGTACTGAGATTTACCAGAGCACTATTTGGTCTGACGTCTTCACACCTCCTGCTTGGGATAGTCCTTGACTGTCACCTTGAGACATGGGAAGCAAAAATACAGAACTTATGGCTGAGCTTCAAAAAAACCTGTGTGTAGATGATCTTCTGTCTGGTGGAGCAACAACACAACAAGCACAGTTCCGAAAGGTTTAGCCTGCACAAGTTGCATTCGAAAGTCCCACAGAAGGAGGGAAACATTGAGAGTAACAATAGTGAAACGACGTTCGCCAAACAGCAACTCCAACCACCAGAGGGAAGCCGAGCGAGCCTGTTGGGACTGGAGTAGGACAAGGATAAAGATGAATTAAGTGTTAAGTTTCCAACCGCAGTGACTGAGTTGACCAAAAGAGGAGTTCTATGCAAGCTGGTGAAAGTTTGTGATCCCTTGGGTCTGGTCTCTCCTTTAACGCTCGAGGGAAAGCTGATATTTAGAAATGTTTGTGATGAGAAGCAACCCTGGGATGCTAAGCGGAAGGAACCAATCGCACAGAGATGGAAGAAGTGGGACCAGTCCCTACCTTTGCAACAGTTGGTGCCTAGATCAATAGTGAGCTACCCGGAACCCTTGAGAGGCATCGAGCTGCACGCTTTTGGTGATGGGAGTAAACAAGGTGTGGGGGCCACAGTTTATGCAGTCATAAGACAACAGTCGGGGACAACTCAACGCCTAGTAGCTGCTAAAGAAAGACTATCAATACCTCGGCTGAAACAGGTTGCTGCCCACATGGGGACAAACTTAATTGCCAATGTAAAAAATGCGTTGGAGGGTCTACCAGTCTCAAAAACGTATGTCTGGCTAAACAGTACGGTGGAGCTGCACTGGATTTCAGGAAGAGGGGACTATAAGCAGTTCATTCAAAACAGAGTGATGAAGATCAAAGAGCATGAAAATATCGTTTGGCAGCACGTAAGCTCTGAGAAAAATCCAGCTGACTTGGCTAGCCGTGGGGGACCAGTGAGTGAATCTAGCCTCTGGTGGTGTGGACCCAATTATCGAAAGAAGAGGAATGACCACCCAATCCCGTGATGCCAGCATCGCCAGTCACACAAGTAGAGGCCAAAACAATTCATGAAGTATTAAAGGTGGCACAAACCAAGTCTGCAAGTGGCGACCTCGACAAGCTGTTAGAGAAACACAAATCGTGGCGCGCTGCTCGTGGGCACATGGATCGTGAGGTTTGTGAAGAACATGTGAGTCAATCAATGAGTTAAGGGTCCCCTTACTAATGAAGAGATTGAGAGCCAAAGAATGTTTTGGATCCAGCGAGCTCAGCGACAGGCAGGATCAACAAAGAACTATGAGAGAGACATGATACATTTGAATATCCAAACCAATCAAGACGCATGGGGTGCTAGAATGCAGAGGAAGAATTCAAGGAAGTTATCCCATATAACTAGATGACACAACCGTCTATACTCGCAAGCTAGTGGAGCGATCACACTTACGATACACTACATGGAGGAGTGACGCTTACTTAATGGCTAACGTTTGCGAATGCCACTGGGTACCACGTCTCAGAAAACTTACAAAGCAAGTAATCAAGTCCTGTGCAGGTTGCAAGCGGTTTCAAGCGATCGCACCCCGCAACCCACCTCCCCGACCACTTCCAGTGGATCGTAGGCAAGGGAGCACTCCTCTCGAAGTCATAGGGTCGATTTCGCGGGCCCACTTAAGTACCAGATCAGCAGGTCCAAGACGGAGGGGAAAGCATACATCGCATTGTACTCGTGCAGCCTGATGAGAGCCGTTTACCTAGATGTGACACCGCATCTCAAGACAAGTGAATTCATACGCAGCCTGAAACAATTTATAGCACGCCCTGGACGTCCTGTGAAGATTTACTCCGACAACAGAAAGACCTTTCTTGGTACCGAGAAATGGCTGAAGCAAATAATGCATGATGAGCAAGTGCAAGACTACCTAGCTCATCAAAACATGAGGTGGCAGTGTAATCTAAGTCGACCCTCCTGGTGGGGAGGCCAGTTTGAGCTCCTTACCTGACTGGTCAAGTCATCCCTCAACAAGACCATCGGAAGTGGCATACTTACGTGGAAGGAGTTGGACGTGGAGATAGCTGTAAACAGCAGACCCTTAAGCTATGTTGAAGAAGAAGTGGAGCAACCATTGCTGACACAAAATTCATTTCTTTTCCAAAGGTCAACTCAGCTGCCAGAATTAGAGACAAATCACCTCAAGGACGCAGACCACTGCAAGCGAGCAAGATATCTGCAAAGGTGTAAACAAGCCCTGTGGTCTAGGTGGTCAGGGAGTATCTGTGAGGGTTGAGAGAGCATCACAAGATGAAACACACTGAGAAATCCACACCTTTGACCAAGGGAGAGGTGGTGATTATAAAGAACGATGACCGAAACCATGCCAAATAGAAACTCAGGAGCAGCAGCCAATCAGAGATCACTATTTCACTGTTTCAGTGGTCGCATCTAACTCACTGCAACCAACGTAACTAGACCGACGCTAGACCACTAACATCGACTTACATTGAATATATCAGTTTTTGTACATCGGACCGTACGCATATCGTTTGAGAGAAAGAAGAAATCGTTCATTTGTACTGAAGAAGGAGGCTAGAGGAAGGAGAAGAAGGCTTCTCTCAAACACTACGCATTGATGTGCCAGAAGGCTAAGCTAGGGGAAGAAGACATACGTACCGACGAAGGTTTCTCTCAAAAACTACGCATAGATGTGGTGAAGAAGAAGGCTTATCTCAAAAACTACGCATAGATGTGGTAGGTATGCTTATCTTTTATGCAGTTGTCTTCTACCTCTTCGCTACCTCATTGATGTGAGACTTGACATTTCTCCTTTGTTTTGGTTAGGGCTTTTGCATACATAAGTTATCACCTGTTTTTAGCATAGGGTGTTCATTGTTAAGTTGAGATGTAGGCTTTGATTTTGGCGATACATATCCTTAAAGTGATCGATATACGATCGAGTTACGAGACTTTTGAATTTTGTTTTTGTTTGTTAGACTTGTTTTTTCTTTCTTGTAGACCAAGATGGATACTAGCATTTGTAGTCTGCCGTCGACATCCTGATCTACAGTCTCAGACAAAAATAGTTGGGACACTTAACCCAAACCCCTTTTTTCCCTTCCCGTGCTTCCCTTTTCCCTCCCAATGTTGTTTATTGTGATTCAGTCGGCAAATCGTGTACACCAACATTGACAGGAAGAGAAGAAAAAAAAATGTCCCAACAATTTTGACTGCGACTGTGTTTTAGAGGAATTCTGGGAATGTGACTACTCAATGGGTCTACTGGTGGGAAATCATGAGGGATGTGTGCATATGTCTAGCACTGTCTCGCGAATTGGAAAAAAGACATTTCACAGTACAACACAACCAGAGCATGAAATAAAGTGTCTTTATTTTATTATAAGCCATATTTCGAGATTTCCAGGGGAAAATATTTGTAATGTAGGACGTTTTTGAGGTATGCCGAAGTCATGTCTTGAAATGTTGTCATGACTGGCAAAAGTACATCTTCCTGCTCCGAAAACGCACTTCTTCCAGGCCATTGAGTTTACCCGTGATACTCCGATTTTTTGTACTAGTAAAGAGGAACTCAGTTTCGTGCGTGGTGCAGTACTTGACGAGAGGGAATCGCAGATGATGAGAGTTCATTGCAAGGCTTTCGCCCTACAGAGCCCAATTCCCGAGGAAGAGCAACAAATTACTCCTAACTGCCCCCATTGTTTTGCCATACTGATGCGATTCAGTCGGCAAATCGTGTACACCAACATTGAGAGGAGGAGAAGACACAAAAACGTCCCAACAATTTTGACTGCGACTGTAGATGGTAAGCTTTCTGCGCACGAAAGTAATCTATTATTTATGCACTAGTCAGTTGCAGCCACTACCTCCAACCCCCCCTGGGAATAGTGTAAAGTATCCTCGTAATTTGAAGGATTTATCCCAGGCCCTAAGGACAGATTCACATGCTAATTACCCCTCCCTAATAAGCTGTCTGTCAACGAACCGCTACTATTCAAGTTTTAACTGAGCAAATATTTGAATTGAGTCATGCATCGGATCTCTCCTCCATACAGAAACCAAAAATAGCCATTTATGAACCGACATATTTTTAAACCTTTTACATACTGATCAAAATGAGTTCATCATTGATGACAAAGATTCATGTAAT